CAGACAGACAGACAGACAGACAGACAGACAGACAGACAGACAGACAGACAGACAGACAGACAGACAGGCAGGCAGGCAGGCAGGCAGGCAGGCAGGCAGACAGACAGACAGACAGACAGACAGACAGACAGACAGACAGACAGACAGACAGACAGACAGACAGATAGACAGATAGATAGATAGATAGATAGATAGATAGATAGATAGATAGATAGATAGATAGATAGATAGATAGATAGATAGATAGATAGATAGATAGATAGATAGATAGATAGATAGATAGATAGATAGATAGATAGATAGATAGATAGATAGATAGATAGATAGATAGATAGATAGATAGATAGATAGATAGATAGATAGATAGATAGATAGATAGATAGATAGATAGATAGATAGATAGATAGATAGATAGATAGATAGATAGATAGATAGATAGATAGATAGATAGATAGATAGATAGATAAATCCAATTCAGAGACAGAAGAAGTCTCAGAACGCTGAACGAACCAACAGAACAAGTGTACAAAATCTGGAATTCTAACACAGAGTGGAATGGATGGGACAGTACTCCAAACATCCTTAGAGACTGATCTATCAACACAAAACTGGTGGTTTCAAGGTGATGGATTTATGACAGAAGAGATGGAAACACTCGATGGCCAGTCCTGAGTGCAATGATAATAATGCGCACTCGTGTGAACTGAACAGCTAGCACTGGATAAGGTACCAAGTTGGAAAGCACGCTAGGACGTCAGAAAAGAATGATATTTAACGAAAAAAACCGGGTAGCCGGATACCTATCGCTGGAAGGTCTAGAGTTTGAATCAGCACAGATATAAATTTGTTTGCAATTACTTTGGCTCCAACCTTGACCCCGCCTACTATGCAGGAGCTCCGGAACCCTGGGAGCTCGGTGTCCTAGTGATTGGTAGGTCGGACATGGCAGTGGCCCCTAATTCCCTGCCTGGTGAGTACTTTGGATTACGATGTAACCATCGGGGGTGGGGGGGGGGGGGGGGCCTGAACCTTGCGGGTGATGGAGGCTTACAGTATTTGTATAAGTCGGATTCTCATTCTTGTGTTGGTAATCTTGGCGACTGCAATCCTAGGAAGGACAAACTTAAAGCAGGAAATCCCCCCCCCCCCCCTCCCCACACACACCATGAACAGGCGTTTCTTTTTTTATATTTGTGTTTATGCATTTTATGTTCATCTTTCTTCTTGTCTCTACTCCTAGAATGCCAGGAGAGGAAGACATCATGGGAACATGCCTTTCTGTCGCTTTTTATATAGTACTTTTCAGTGGCTCAGATGTTTCGGAGGTCCATCTTCTATCTGTATAAAATATTGTTACATGGCCAAACCATTCAATCTGTTGTCTACCTGTTAGTTCAGCATTAGTTCTGTGCCGACTTATCTCCTGATATCATCGTTTCTAAGTCGATCTTCGCATGTTACACATAGTATAGAGCATAAACTTTTCATTTTATAGTGATAATTTTCTGTCTGTCTTCTGAAAAAAATGTCAATGTTTGACATTGATAGAATAGCAAGGTTAAGAAAATCGCGTTGAACAATTTAATTTCGGTGTTTATATTCAATCCTTGAATTCCAAAATTGGTACTATTTGGCATATAACTTGACTAGCATTATTGTTTCTTTGTTGAATCATTTCTATATTCTTCCGTAATTCTGAAAAAATGTCTCCCAAGAAATGTCACTTCCGTCGCCGGCCTTATCTGACGTTCATTGTTTTGATTTTGCTGGTTCTTCTTTTTTCACTAGAGTGGCATGGTTTCTGTTTTGTCAACGTTGATCCTCATACCATTGTTGCCGCGTTCTGAGTGGAGTCTGTTAGTATATTCTTGCAGTTGTACTGCTGTTGGTGCTATGATTGCGGGGTCAACGGAGAAAAGCAGTTCATTGAGTAATTCTCCAATGTTGTTCTCTTTCACTGGTGTTAGCTGATCTGCAAATTTATTGGGCGTATGTGATGAACAGTAGTGATGATAAAATACATGACTGTCTCACTCCAGATCTAATGTGGAATTTCTCTAACATTTTTATGTTTGATTTAACATCGCATTGACTGTTTACGTATGAACCTTTGCACAGTTGAATAAAATGTTTGTTTACTCCGTATTCCTGTAGTAATGTGTTCCTGTTAACTCGATCGAAAGCTTTTTCTTGGTCTAGACGTACGATGTATAATTCTTTATCGAATTCTACCGTCCTTTCCATTAATTGTCTAAGCGTGAATATTGCATTAGTACAGCTTCTGTTCTTCCGAAATCCCATTTGTCCTTTACTAAGTTATGGTTCGATAATAACATGTTAAATGAGTTTACTGAAATCAGCACGTTTGTTTGCCATTCGCCACATAAGGGTAGAGCCGCTGTTGTGTAGCGGCTAGAAGCTTGCCTGCTGATCTGAATGTTCACTCTAAGCTAGATTCTGTTTTTCCTTTCAAAAATGACCTTGACTCCCAGGCTGACCCAGCCGTGTGCTCGTACCAGACGAAAGTGCTGACAATTAAAGGTCGCCGGCGTGATGCTGGCCACAAGACTCAATATGTGCTGATTGGTCCATGAAGTATAGGTCTGCCACTACATGCCCAATACACTAAAGCTGCGGGAAATGGACCTTTTGCTTTCACTTTCTACATAATAATTATTATTATTTTTATAATATAATATTTTTTATTACTTACTTAAACACTTTACAAATAACACGTTACGCCCAGTAGATAGGTAGGTAGTTGAACCCCACCAGGACATCAAACAAGCAGTAAACACCCGGTGACACAAAGTGCCACCATGCGGTTGAGGATCAGCCGTAGAGAGGTCCCAGAAACAGTTTTTAGCCGTTAGGCAATATTTATGGCCCGGCCATATTCAGGGCCTCCGACAGAAGCCAGGAGGAGAATAAAACAGGGACAATTGAAATATGTTTGCCTTATTAAAGTCTTTACAGCTCAAAGGCACTGTAATGTAGGCGTGGTTACTGGAAAGTGATGAAACAGTCGAGAAACCAGGAATGGGCATCTTCATCAATTATCAAGAGTATTTAGATGAGGCATGGACAGTCGCGTTTCTCAATATCTGGCTACATGTAACACTATATACAGTTTTTAGAAATGACACCCTGGATATAAACATACAAGCAGGTAAAACGAAATCAATGATTGATATAAAAGATATAGATCAATGTGTTTATTGGGAAAAGGCACAACAATTAGCTACGGCTTCTTCTTCTTCTTCTTCTTCTTCTTCTTCTTCTTCTTCTTCTTCTTCTTCTTCTTCTTCTTCTTCTTCTTCTTCTTCTTCTTCTTCTTCTTCTTCTTCTTCTTCTTCTTTTTCTTCTTTTTCTTCTTTTTCTTCTTCTTTTTCTTCTTCTTCATCTTCTTCTCATTATTATTATTATTATTAGTCTTTTTCTTTTTCTTCTTCTTCTTCTTCTTCTTCTTCTTCTTCTTCTTCTTCTTCTTCTTCTTCTTCTTCTTCTTCTTCTTCTTCTTCTTCTTCTTCTTCTTCTACTATTTCCTTGGTTTTTCTCTTCAACCTAAAAAGCTAAAATAAAGCTGACATTGTTTAAGTAGGTGTGTGTGTTTATCTCTGTGTGTGTGTGTGTGTGTGTGTGTGTGTGTGTGTGTGTGCGCGCGCGTTGTGTCTCATGCAGAGGCGAATGTTAACTGAGCAATCTCCAGTATATGTGTCTTTCTCCAGCTCCAACTTCTGTAAGGTTATTCCATCACTGAGATCCTAAACTATTTGCCTACGTCAAGTGGCATGAACAAGGAGTAAAAATTAGCAGAGAAAAAGAAACACACGGAGGGAGAAAGAGAGAGAGATAGAAGGAGTTGAGAGAAAGAGAGAGAGAGAGAGAGAGAGAGAGACGAAGAGAGGGAAAAGGTTGGCAGACCAGGGAAAAACCAAAAACGTACTGACAACTCAGGTAGTCCGCACAAGCAGTGACACTCTCTGCCTCATATTGTTCTTCGCTACTCACAACTTAGAAATCTTCCCGCTGGCTTGAGTAAACATACACGTCTGAATTCTTCTGGATTCTTTGCTAGCACTTCTCTCTCTCTCTCTCTCCCTCTCTCTCTCTCTCTCTCTCTCTCTCTCTCTCATTTCCTCTCTTTTATCACTCTTCTCTCTCTCTCGCTCTCTCTCTCTGTTTCTGTCTCGCTCGTCTCTCTCTCTCTCTCTCTCTCTCTCTCTCCCTCTCTCTTTCATCACTCTCTATATATATTTCTTTCTCTCATATTCTCTCAAACTGTGCCGCTCCGTCATTTATGGCTGCCTCTCTGTATGCCTCTTAGTGCAGTAAGAAGAGTAATGGTTTTTGCAACTGCTATGTGCATCACATTATTAGCTGTTGTTGCCTCTTGAAATCTGTTTCTCCCATCGCCAAGCAGTAGTTCTTAATCACCTTTGTAACATATTGTATTTTCTCACAGTGCTGGCAAATGAACAATACATGAACAATACATGAACAATACATGAACAATACATGGACAATACATGAACAATACATGAGCAATACATGAACAATACATGAACAATACATGAACAATACATGAACACGACATGTACAATACATGAAAAATACATGAACAATACATGAACGATACATGAACAATACATGAACAATACATGAACAATACATGAACAATACATGAACAATACATGAACAATACATGAACACGACATGTACAATACATAAACAATACATGAACAATACATGAACAATACATGAACAATACATGAAAAATACATGAACAATACATGAACAATACATGAACAATACATGAACAATACATGAACAATTCATGAACAATACATGAACAATACATGAACAATACATAAACAATACATGAACAATACATGAACAATACATGAACAATTCATGAACAATACATGAACAATACATGAACAATACATGAACAATACATGAACAATACATGAACAATACATAAACAATACATGAACAATTCATGAACAATACATGAACAATACAATACATGAACAATACATAAACAATACATGAACAATACATGAACAATACATGAACAATACATGAACAATACATGAACAATACATGAACACGACATGTACAATACGTGAACAATTCATGAACAATACATGAACAATACATGAACACGACACGTACAATACATAAACAATACATGAACAATACATGAACACGACATGTACAATACATAAACAATACATAAACAATACATGATCAATACATGAACAATACATGAACAATACATGAACAATACATGAACAATACATGAACACGACATGTACATTACATAAACAATACATGAACAATACATGAACAATACATGAACACGACATGTACAGTACATGAACAATACATGAACAATACATGAACAATGCATGAACACGACATGTACAATACATGAACAATTCATGAACAATACATGAACAATACATGAACACGACATGTACAATACATGAACCAGACATGAACAATACATGAACAATACATGAACAATACATAAACACGACATGTACAATACATGAACAACACATGAACAATGCATGAACAATACATGCAGCTTGCAACCTCCGAAGTAATATCGACTCTTCCTCTTCTCCACCACGCTCACCGGCTGTAAGCTCTTGGGAAAGGTTCTGGCTGACCGTCCACATCTGGACTTTAGTTTTCTTCCAGAACTTGAGTTTTTGCATGCACATCCATTTTAACGGATGTGACTTACAGTGGGACCTTTGGTGACAAAGCCTCTAGTCACAAAAAAATATCCGCTCACAAACACAATTGCCGAATATATTTTGACTTGACCCGTGAACAGTGCCTCGACGCACGACGCTTTGTGCTTTGTTTCCATGTATTCGGCTGGCGACCAGCATTAGATGAATTGAGGTTTGTGGGTGCGTTGTTTTAGATGCATATATTTTTTTTTAATTAACCCTCATTATACTATGCCCTTCAACATCTGCTAAAGTCAAAGTGTCTGTTTCGCAACACTAAGATCAAAATGTACAAAACGTTGACAAGACCAGTTGTTTTACATGGCTCTGAAACCTGGAGCACAACTAAAAGAGATGAAGCCTTATTACAGGTTTATGAAAACTGTCTTACAGCGAATCTTTGGACACCTCAAAGATGCAAAGAGGTGAAGCAATAACGAAATTCATACTCTGTTTAAATCACCACTGATCACTGGCATCATGAGAGCTAATAGACTGAAATGGTTGGGGCATATTGAAAGAATGCCAGGTGACAGAGAAGTCAAAACTATGCACGGGGGAGATGAATGGTCGTAGACCACGAGGCAGATCAAAAGACGATGGAGAGATAATATCCAGACAGACCTGCAAAATTATTGTCACCAGTTGGAAAGAGAAGGCCAACCAGAGAGATGAATAGAGGCGGGTGATATTTGCAGCAATGAACCTCAAGGGCTCGGAATGGGGAGGTAGAAGAAGAAGAACCCTCGTTATGACCGCCAAGAAGGGGAGAAGTGTTATGACAGTGCTGTAAAGAAGTCTAGCCGTGTTACAGTAGAAAAGAAGAAGGAGATAATAACTAAACACGAGAATGGTGTTTGTGTTTATATTTCATCAAGCAATGCGAAATGGTTACATCTCTGTAATTCCCTAAAGAACAAAGATGTGCTAAAGAAAGCTGATGAGGTTAAATAGTGATTTTGTTTACGAACAAAGGTCTCAAGTGTTAAAAGAATTAGAAACATATTGCTAGTTTGGATTAATCAAAAGCAGCTCTCTGGAGATAGTGTTAGCTATGTCCGAATATGTGAGAAGGCTTGACTTGTGTACGGTCATTCAAGGGTGACAACACCGAACACAAGTAAGTAAGTTAGTTGTGTCCCACTAGCACATCCCACAGAGTGATGAACACCCGGTGAAACAAAGTGCCACTATGCGGATGAGAATCACCCGTAAAGAGGTCCCGGAAACACCTTTTCAAACGTTAAGTAAGTATTGGTGCCCCTGTGTGTATTATACACACCGAATACAAGTGATGTTAGCCTTGAAGAATTTAAAACTAGCATAGGAAGGTTCGATAAATCTTGTCAACGAACTGGAATGCATAGGAAGCTAGTTATTGTGGAAGAAATTGCAAACTTTATCAACTCTGAAGGTTACATTCGCATCAAGTTTTAAATTGCAATAATACTGAACTTTTTATTTTTTTTATTTTTAGTCTTCATTGAACATCTCGCTGAGAAGAATGTGTCACTAGAACACAACAGCACAGTTTCGGGTGAAAGTAGAAAACTGAGTTGGATGTAGTTTTAAAAAAAAAAACGCATCAACAACAAGAACAATATTAACAACACTGGAACACTATACTAAGAAACCGAAATTCATGGAACTATAGTTGAGCCTTTCAGTTGTAAATTTAGCAGCACTGATGTTTGAAAGATTTCGATGCAATAAAAAATAGTCATATTAACTGACTGACTGACTTTCCACTCCACTAGGACATAACGCAAGCGATAAACACCCGATGACACAAAGTGCCACCATGTGGATGAGGATCGCCGTGGAGAGGTCCCAGAAACCGCTTTCAGATTATTGGCCATATTTATGGCCTGCCTATATTGCGGCCCCTGGCAAAAGCCAGGGTGGGGCTTCAAATAGAAAAAATTTAGTCCTAAAAAGAACGAAACTGGATAATCTTATTAAGTGAATTAGATTTTAAAGAACATAATGGACAACACAAGAAAAAACCTTTCTAATTATGGCGTATTTGAATCTGTAACTTTTAAGGAAACCGGAGTGTAGAAATATCGTCAAATTTGACGAGACAATATAGTACTGTTTCCACAGTTAAAATTGCCTGCAATGGACCTTTAGCCTTTTCTATCTCTCGTCTTGACCGCACACTCAGACTGACGATGTTCGTCAGTGTTACATTAGTTATGTCCCGCCCCTCCCCCTTTTGTCTTTAGACTCTAAGCTCCTAATCTGTCTGCAGTCCTTTTCAGCTGTCTCCATATGCCCTCCTTAATCCCCCCCCACCCCCTCTATGCAATACGATTGATGGAATCTTGCTGCAATGAAGCGATCACATTCCATGTATCCTTTAGGTCCCACTTAGGGGACACAGCGGATACACTTTCTAAAAAAAAAAATCGATGCATCAGAGACTTGAAGTTGTCGAAAAAGCCAGTTTGAATAACAAACGAACGAACACACTTTTTTTTCAAAGGGCCAAAAACTGTACATGCAGGCTGCTTTAAATTCGACCCTTTCAAAAACTCATCTTTCACAAGTCAGTCGTATTTAATCAATAAAACATGTATTTCTTTATACAACAACAAAAACGTTTCATAATATATTGTAAGGCTTAGGAACTTTCACGCCCAGATCACGGAGCTGAGGTAGTTCAGTGACTATATACTCGACAGTTGAACCGAAAATCATGAGTTCGAGACTTCGTCGAGGCGAATTTTACCATTGATCTGCTCTCCCAGGAAATGTGCAGGATAGTCAAGACAGCCAGCGTAATGCTGACCACATCATCCATCATATTAGTGTACACAGCTGTGGATCTAGCATTACACAACCCTTAAACCAACACTGCGAAAAGGTCCTTAACTTCCTTAGGACAAGCCCAGGGGCTGGAAAGTATGCACACAAGTGCTTTAACAATATTGCTCGGTAAGACGTCTGGGACTTGAGATAAATATCAAAGAATCAGGTGACAACTAAAGAGGCAGGCGTCCTTCTACTAACGCTGGCACTCTAGACCACACTACGTCATGTGGAAACATTGAAAACTAACAGTAAGGAAGGAACAGTCGGTCGGCTGCGGTTAAATTCTTAGGCGTTATCAACGAAACAAGACCCAGAACCCAGAGTGCTATTCTGATCATATTTCAACAATGACACACGTCTAACAACAAACATCCTAGGTTGGAATGCTTTCGGTACATCGTAGGAATAGACAAAACGCTGGTAGGTGCGCCAAGATGGGCAGTGGAACTGTATTAGATGGCCCTCTAACTGGATTGATTTAAAGTACACGATCTCATTCAAATATAAATACAGGCATATATTTTCAAATTTTAATGAATAAAAAATTGTTACAGACGAGCATGTTGTGGACTTAGGTTGAATGCTACGTGCCTTTACAAAAATGTTTTGCACAACACTTCTAGATGGTTCTGACTCCGTCACCTGGCAATTTTGTTTTAAGGTCATTTTCTTTGCACTCAGACGAAAGCAGGTATCTTTTACAGACTGTATCTTTCTATTTACGTATGCATTTTAACAGAGATCCCCAAGGATCCTCACTGGAGCTATGAAGTTCCTGCATTGTGCATGCATCTATTCGTTCAATGAAGCGAAATCACTGGGGTGAACCCCAGTGTAGTGGAGTCGGTCATCTCGACTTTAAAGTTAAAAATTTTTCATCAAGACAATGTGTCTAGTGTCCAGGTGAATGAGATCACCATCAACTGTGAACACGTAAACAGTATGATATTTTACTGGCCGTGAAGCCTGGTGTGCACATCATAGCAGCAAATTATGATTATTGACCGATCTGCTCTAGAGATGCTTGCCTGCAGGTTCGAAGATCATATGTCGGAATCTGCACTAGGCCAGGGGGTTTTTCATAACTGCCTTTGGCCTAACCTAAATTGGGTACCCGGAAATATCATAGGAAATAAAAATAGTCTAGTGTCAATATAAACATGAATCCTTACATCATCTGCTGACAATACTTGTTACTGTTCATATGCTCTACAACCAAGGAGTTACCTATGTCGTTGTGATTCCAAGAATGGACAAAAAAGCGCACAATATGCTACAAAGCTTAGAGATAGGTAAAACACTCAGACTAGCGAACTATTTGTTTTTATCAACGAACAAAACGGCTAAAAGGTAAACAGTTTATAACTGTGTCTGTTGGTATTTTTATCTTTATATTAACTTTGTCATTTGTTCAATTAGTAAGCTGTTTTTGTCCACTGATTTGTGCTGGTCCTTTGCTTTCCTTTCTTAATGCTTTCTTTTAACAGCTTGTTGTGTGATTATTTATAACAATAAATACACTAAAACGAAATAAAATAAAATAAAAATCTACAAAAATTATTAAGACAAAAAGATACAAAGAAACACTACTTTGAGAAGACTAACTTGATACAGTTGAATTAGAACTTGCACAGGAAACCGTGGCAGAAAATTGATTCGTCGACGTGAGAACGACACTCTTAGAAATAGGTTATAAAAAGTAGATAGGGAAAATTACGCTTAGAAGAAAGGATATCAAGTAGTGTATTAACCGCTTATAAAATGTTCAGAACAAACATTGTTTTTTAGAACCTTATATCCAAGTCCTTAATGGTTTGTTGTTGTTGGTTGTTGATTAATTGTCCATTATTTACAGTAACATGTGATGAAGTTGATTCCACGTAACATGCACGGATTCTAACAAA